ATATTAATCACTGGATTGTCTGATCCAGACTCAATTATTTACAGACCGCTGGAATATTGCTGAGTGCGGCGTTAAACAACAAACACACATTTTAGATCAAATTTCAATCTAATTGTCCACGTGTTGTCTGTATTCTTTCAATTGCGGCCCTTGCCAAACTGAAGGGTCAGTGCATCTCTGATGTCCATGAAGGACGCCTCCGTTGTCTGTGGTTCCTGGTTGGACTGTGTGTGTGTGTGTGTGTGTGTGTGTGTGTGTGTGTGTGTGTGTGTGTGTCGATGTGTGTGTGTGTGTGTGTCGATGTGTGTGTGTCGATGTGTGTGTGTCGGTGTGTGTGTGTGTGTGTGTGTGTGTGTGTGTGTGTGTGTGTGTGTGTGTGTCGATGTGTGTGTGTGTGTGTGTGTGTGTGTGTGTGTGTGTGTGTGTGCATCCTGGACTACTGCATGCCAGTCTGGGCACCGTTCCACAAAGCGATCTTAGCGTTACGACTATCGTAAGCCAGTGTTAAAGTATGGGACTTACGATCACCTTAGCGCTAAGATGGCTTTGTGGAACGGGGCCCTGGTAGGTAGGGCCGATCTTTGTTTATACACAGGCTGTGTAGTGCGACAGCTGCAGCCACAAGGGTTGACTCTCATCATGGCAGGACAGGTTTGGTCCATATCCAGGGCAATCTTGCGGCTCAACGATACATCAACGAAATTCTTCTACCACACGTCCTCCCAAATGCAGCTAACGGCAACTGTGTATTCCAGCAGGACAACGCTCAACCGCATACATACAGCACGGATCACTAGAGCCTGTCTACACAACAACAACGTTGATGTTCTCCCCTGGCCCTCTAGATCCCAGGATTTGAACCCGACAGAGCACCTGTGGGATAAATTGGATAGACCCAACCCTATTCCAGCAATATCACGGCGGGGGACACTGGAAAATGGGCTTCACACATTGTACCCATGTGGGGAATCGAACCCGGGCCTTCGACGTGACGAGCCAACATTTAACCATTAAGCTACCCCACCGCCCCGTAAATGTGTTAACCCCAGTGGGGTATTATATGCATATAAACGCATTTCGACATTTGCCCTACCAGATCGTCTTGCAACACTCCTGTTTACTTCACTTACTTCACTGGTTACGATAGTTGTTGTCAAAGCACACATCATTTCAGATTAGACCCGTGAAGATCCGGGGTAGAATAGGTCTTCAGCAACCCATGCTTGCCGTAAAAGGCATGCTTGTCGTAAAAGGCGACTAACGGAATCGGGTGGTCAGGCTCGCTGACTTGGTTGATGCATGTCATCGATCACAATTGCGCGGATCGATGCTCATGATATTAATCACTGGATTGTCTGATCCAGACTCAATTATTTACAGACCGCTGGAATATTGCTGAGTGCGGCGTTAAACAACAAACACACATTTTAGATCAAATTTCAATCTAATTGTCCACGTGTTGTCTGTATTCTTTCAATTGCTCTGATGTCCATGAAGGACGCCTCCGTTGTCTGTGGTTCCTGGTTGGACTGTGTGTGTGTGTGTGTGTGTGTGTGTGTGTGTGTGTGTGTGTGTGTGTGTGTGTGTGTGTGTGTGTGTGTGTGTGTGTGTGTGTCGATGTGTGTGTGTGTGTGTGTGTGTGTGTGTGTGTGTGTGTGTGTGTGTGTGTGTGTGTGTGTGCATCCTGGACTACTGCATGCCAGTCTGGGCACCGTTCCACAAAGCGATCTTAGCGTTACGACTATCGTAAGCCAGTGTTAAAGTATGGGACTTACGATCACCTTAGCGCTAAGATGGCTTTGTGGAACGGGGCCCTGGTAGGTAGGGCCGATCTTTGTTTATACACAGGCTGTGTAGTGCGACAGCTGCAGCCACAAGGGTTGACACGAAATTAACATCAATGTCAACCCTCTTGAGGAAACGCCTCCATCTCCCTTCAAACCATCACAGCCTGCATAACAATGGAGTTCCACCCGTTAATATCTGTTTCCCAAAATCAGGGGGGGGGGGGGGGGGGGTGTGTGGCTGGGGGGGGGGGGGCCTAGTGGTTAAAGTGTTCGCTCGACACGGGTTCGATTCCCCACATAGGTACAATGTTCGAAGCCCATTTCTGGTGGCTCCCGCCGTGATATTGCTGGTATTTTCTTTAAAAAGGCGTAAAACAATACTCAGCATGGCAATACTTTGGGGCAAGGACACGTGAAGCATCTATTGTTCCTTCACAGTTCGGAGAGTTCTATTTGTCTTTTAAACTAAGCCCATTTATAGAATCCCCGCCGTGATATTGCTGGAATATTGCTTTAAGCGGCGTAAAAACATATTCACTCGCTCACTTTAGAACCATTAATGACAGTTCATTGAAAATCCTCTGATGTATGGCGTCGCAGACGTCATGGACGCAGATACACAGTTGACCTGGCTATTCCCAACAAGTTACCCGCAGTTCAGTGCTCCACGGTTGTGGCCAATACACAGCGACTGCTACCCCATATTCAGGCTCTGGTTGTAGGCAGATGAGTGAGTGAGTTAAAGCTTTACGTCACATCGGCAATATTTCAGCCATATCGTGACGAGAACACTTATAATACTGACATTAATGTAGGCAGATGACTTGAAACAGGGCGAGACACTTTGAAATGTTTTTAAAACAATATGGTTTCACCGACTTCTGCATCTTTCCTACATCCAGATTAATCTTTCTCATAGAAAAGACGAGCTTATTGGTAAATCACACTCTTGTTTCAAACGTTGCCTTCTCCTTCTCCGAGCACTACGTCCAAACCTCTCCGATGCGGTCGGGTGGACTAGTGGTTAAAGCTTTCGCCCGTCACGCCGAAGACCCGGGTTCGATTCCCGACGTGGGTACAATGGGTGAAGCCAATGGGTGAATATTGCTAAAAGCGGCGTAAAACCATACTCGCTCACTCCAAACCTCTCCACTGTCTTGACTCAGATTAGTTAAATTGATTGACATATTATGAACTACTCATAGTATACCCGTGCATATTAACACCACTTTTTATCCTTTCCCCGATGGACTGGGCTGGGGGTGGGAGTTGGGTATTGTACCCCTGGGAGCAAAAAGGATGCATATAAAACGGCTAAAATAAAGAAAGGCTTTTTTCACCCTTTCAGACACAAAGTTAGACTTTTTCGCCAGCAGGCAATTTTGTATTCAGCACTTGCAATATGTGTGCTTCATTACAATATAAATATAATCATATATACAGTTTGGAAATATTTCCTCAAATACTTTGTCTTTGTAAGTCAGACAGGAAAAGTGTTGATATAAATATTCAGGCATTTTCTTTTCAATGATATTGTTACCAGTTTCCATCGTTTCAAAACATGTCCTTGTGGAAATTAGGTATTATCTTGTCGTTCGATGGCGGAGGTCTATTGCCGACATTGGCCGATAGACATCATTCATGAAATAAAATACCACGTATGTTTCGCCGGTCTTATGTTCTCAATGGTGAGGATGTCGAAACCGCAACTGAAATGAATGCCGAGGTATCCCAGTGCAGCTCAAATTGACGTAATGTTGTGCAAAATCAATGCTTTCACCCAGAACATAAGTCGGTTGCAGCCAAGCTATTCGAGTTGGAAGAAGTTTGTGTTCTCAGAACACTACACCGGGAAATGGAAATAAACATTTATCATCAATCTCTTCGTTCGCAGATTTTATTGTTTTGCATGTATACTTTATTTTAAATCTACAATAGGCGCACGAGCGTGGACACAGCGGACCGGGGTGCATATTGGATAGATTTGCTAGAAACAAATGCACATTTATGTTTTTGTTTTTGTTGTTTAACGCCGCAGCTATATGACGGCGGAAATGGACGAAATGGAAAAAAAAGGAAATTTGTTGAGGCTTGACTGCAGTTGCGTGCGGCTCAATCGAGGATACAATATCGGTATTAGCTATTCTTTCATAATTTTATTTGTTGACACATTCAGTAATATTCCTGCTGTATGACACCGGTCTGTAAATAATCGAGTCTGGACCAGACAATCCAGTGATTGACATCATGAGTATCGATCTACGCAATTGGGATACGATGACATGCATCCAAGTACCATCTTTTAGTATGACCCTGCTGGAGGATCGAACCACCGACCTTCCGCTATTGGGCAGATTCTCTATCCACTGGACTATGGAGGTTGGTTTGTTGTTTAATACGGCACTAAGCAATATTCCATCTGTCTGGACCAGACAATCCAGTGCTTGATATCTTGAGCATCAATCCACGCAGTTGAGATACGATGACATGCATCAGTGAGCCTGACCACCGATCCCGTTAGTCGCCTCCTACAACAAGCATAGTCGCCTTTTACGGCAAGCATGGGTTGCTGAAAACCTATTCTACCCCGGATCTTTAGGGGTATGATCAGGTATGACTTAGGCTTGTATACCCATTCTGTTCAAATAAATAATATTCATATCATGTGAGTGCCTGAGTGAGTTTGGTTTAATGCTGCTTTGAACAGTATTTTAGTTACATTACAGCTTGTCAGGTTGAAGCTGGATGAAAAGATGCAGGCCTCACAGGTTTACCAGCTTGGTGAAACCTACCAGCTCATGTGATATGCTGGCAAATGCGGAGTGAGTTGGGTTTAAGGCAGCTTTGAACAGTATTCCAGTCATATCACCTCCACTTATTGTGGGAGGAAAGCCCATGATGCAGGTCTTAGACGTTTACAACTTTGGTGACACCTATGGGCAGGGTAGGGTGCTGCCAAACCTAGAAACATAAGGAGGTTTCGGATGAACCCAAGGGGTGCCAACTCTGCACAATGAATGTGCCTTTGATGACTGGGCCACCCGTGTCCTAACAAACCTAGAAACACAATCAGGGCAAAACTGGGAGTGGAACCAATGATTTCTGTCATGCCTATGGGATGGAACTATCCACAGACATTTACCAAGCCTTAGACCATTGGGACAGCCCCAATCCTCTGTTGAAGGGACAACAACATACAACAGACTAAAGCACTTCATAATATAACTTTTATTTTGACATAGGAGTAAAATGTATTGTGTTGAGCTGATGCCAGCCATGAAATATATGATACACAGCTACACTCACTGTACTGTCTGTATAGCATCTGATTAGTGCCAAGAGGCCACACTGAGTCCACAACACAACTCACACATATATAGGCCTACTCAGGGGAATGCCACACACATCAAATATAAAAAATTCTCACATGACTGTTATTTATCAATTCCTAGCACATAAAGGTCAAAATAGACATTTTTTCTCAAACAAAATAGGAGGCATATTAGTTACAGATAATATTTTCAAAATGCCTCATAATACGATTTTGCAAAACTTGATTTTCTATTGGATCTTTGTTTTGTCATGTTTCTGTGAATACATTCCATAAAACTTTGCTCACTATGATTTGTTTGATATGTGTGACATTGAAGCTTGTAACACACACATGCTATAAAAGCGTTGGATGCTTATTTAAATACTGATTACACCATGCCAAACCAAAAGGTCAGGACACAGCTGAGAGTATTCTGTACGAATGCATCCATTAACTGATGCTCTTTCAGTATATGGTGTTCTAAACAATAGCTGAATATTACACATAATGCTATTGAGTAAGTTTAATATAGCCCGGACAAACGAAGATCATGCAAAGTCACATAGCAAGATCCATATTATCCCTTATTACATTACTATAAAAGCAAACTCATTTTGGCAAATTACAAGGCTCTAAGGATCCCATTTATAATGTTTGGCACTAACCACATGGAATACAGATATTATGGAGTTAGGTCTTGTCTAGATGTACACAAGTACAGAGAAAACATTTCTATAGTTTAGACAGCCAGGTTAAGATTCCACCTCACCATGACAACAGCCAGGCTAGGATTCCACCTCACCATGACAACAGCCAGGCTAGGATTCCACCTTACCATGACTACAGCCAGGCTAGGCTTCCACCTCACCATTACAACAGCCAGGCTAGAATCCCACCTCACCATGACAACAGCCAGGCTAGGATTCCAACTCACCATGACAACAGCCAGGCTAGAATCCCACCTCACCATGACAACAGCCAGGCTAGGATTCCATCTCACCATGACAACAGCCAGGCTAGGATTCCACCTCACCATGACAACAGCCAGGCTTGGATTCCACTCACCATGACAACAGCCAGGCTTGGATTCCACCTCACCATGACAACAGCCAGGCTAGGATTCCACCTCACCATGACAACAGCCAGGCTTGGATTCCACCTCACCATGACAACAGCCAGGCTTGGATTCCACCTCACCATGACAAAGCCAGGCTTGGATTCCACCTCACCATGACAACAGCCAGGCTAGGATTCCACCTCACCATGACAACAGCCAGGCTGGGATTCCACCTCACCATGACAACAGCCAGGGTTGGATTCCACCTCACCATGACAACGGCCAGGCTAGGATTCCACCTCACCATGACAACAGCCAGGCTGGGATTCCACCTCACTGTGACAAGATGCAGTGTATAGCATATGGAACATTGGTGCAGTGTTTCACATTTTGTAACAAATTTGCTCATAAAAAATAACGAAATGATATTTTGACTTCAGTGAAATCCAAAAACATAATTAACTTAACATAGTCTTATCTAATGTGACTGTCAAACACTGACAATAGTTGATTTAGCATTTTCTACCTCGGTCATTACGACACTATCAGTTTATTCATATTTGACAAATGACCCATGTCTGTCTGTGCACAACAGTAAGAATTCTTACAAGAAAATAGTAAACACAAATTTCAAACAACCAATATGGCTTGCAATATTTTGTCTTGTTTGTTTGATAGGTACAATATGGCCCAAAATATTTTAAGGCAAACACATTTGCACACATCAGGTAAACTGTTACAGACAAAAACCACAAAGAAGTGACAGATCATTGTGTTTGTTAATGAAATGAAAGCTATATATGACATTAATGATAGAACAACAATGGCATGTGTATTTTGGTTCTAACTCCTGAACACATATGGAATATTTCAACCCAGGAATATCAAATTAATTTCAAAGGCAAAAGAAAACAAAATGCATGTTTGTAAGTATTACACAGAATCCAGAGTATTTTAATCAAAACTGCTGGCAAAATAAAGGAAATGACATTCAATCAAAGAGACACAATGTCAGAAATGCAGAGCTTTAAGCACTCAGTGAATGGTCAGTAACAAGTGTTAGCATCGTTAGCTTGATTGCGTTTATCTGGGGACGTCCTGAAAACAAACCCTGACAACAACTGAAAAAAAACTACAATCTACAACAAAATAAATAATCTATAAAATAAATACATTCTTATGCTTTGCTGCTGCTAGGGGTGGCCATGTTGGATAATGCTGCCAAGCTGGATTATCTCCCCTTGGAGCTCAAAATTGGAGGTTGATACAAACATTCTATCATGACAGATATACCATAATCGTCCTTATTCTGCATCGTGCCATGCTCACAATTTGTGTAGGGACAACATTTTGTGAAAAATTCAAAGATAAATGTAGAACAAGATATTACTGTAAATACTAGACGAGAGATCAGACGAAAAATGCAAGTCAGTTTCTTGGCTATGAATAATTTAGAATATTATTAATATCTTTGTATTTCTTGCTGTTTGGGATCCTCCCTACATGGCTTAGAATAAAAGGACTTGATCTTAAACAGATAACTGTTCATAGGTAGTGATGATGAAACAGACTTGGACCTTCATTACAAGAAATTCTGTATTTTCAAAAGTACTTGTGGAATTCAATAAACCTGTGTGCACAAGATTTTAACAAAATGGTTGAGGATATGAACACACCAATGGCATTCAATTCAAGTATAAAATTCAACATCAACTTATTCAACAGTTGGCAAAATCTTTTAAGATGGTAATATGCTGTAAATGCCTCCAACCTTATGACTCTACTCAATTTTCTGCTTAAGCTGAAACACAATACTGCTTAACTTAAGCATGCTGAGAAAATATATATTAATATGATACCTGCACAATGAATGACCAAAAGCTGTTAACACAGTTATTATCGGAGTATGTACATTTTTCCAAGATATCACAGCTCCACTTAATGTTCTAGTATTGCAGAAGACAAAGCCACTGGATCATGAAGTATGCATGTCTAAACAAACTGGGGGCAATGTTCACAAGCAACAAGTGGTCATCAGTTAGCAGCGGCCTGAGTAACAATACTGCCCACACAGTCCTGGGAGCATCACCTACATGACTTCAGTACCAGCCATGGATGGTTTCAGGGTATTATGACAGTATTACTGTAGAGAAAGCAGCTAGTCTGATACTAGGAAGTGTCCCTTCTTTCAAAAGTCAGAGTATTTTACATGACCTCAATGTAAATCATTAAAATGTCATTGATGATAAAAATATCTTTTTAAATAATTTTTCAATTTGCCTTTTACATATAAACTATCATTTGCAATGTAAAATAGCAAAGCCTGAAACTTCTTTTCATCCTAAAACAGTATTTTACTTTACCTTAACGATAAAGAACTGTATCAAATACTGTAATTCAATCTTCCATCTCATCACTGTTATCAGTTTTGGAGGATTGTAATGATTTCCAGACCTTGTGAAACCTTTCTAAAAGTCAATGGATGGCTGTGCGAAAATCGAAAAATGTCATCCACTGACTAAAGAAGAGCCTCTTTGCAATGAACTTTCATCAATTAACCTTTTCAGAGTTTCGGGCTGCTAAAAAGTATGTCAACGATCAAATTCTGACAAAATCTTTTCTGAGACAAATAATCCAAGATATTGCTGAAGTCCAAGTTCACACTTAAGTTAATGAACATGTCATCCTTCCTTGTATCAGACAGAACTGTGTCCCTCGTGGTGCTATCACTAACATCAGCACAATACTAATTAACACAACCATACACAACTGTATAGTCAAGGGTATAGCTATTTGCAACATCTGCAACTTCTTTCATCAAACTGGTCCAAACTGAGTCCACTTGTTTTCTTACAGTTTTCTAAAGACTTTTTCTGTCATAGTTTTACCCAAACTGATGAAGTTACCTACTTTTCATTCAATAAAGAATACTCGGTCTGGCAGTGTAAACTGCATCAGAATCTCCATCACTGTAGGAATAGCTGTCCTACACAAGTGTGGTACTTGTACAAGGTCACTTGTCATTGTCCTCCAGCAGATGTGAAAGAGAACATTTAGGCACACAGAAGTGTCAGATTAGCTCTACACCACAATTCTTTGGCAAGCAGCAGAACCAAGGCTTGGCACCAGTGAACAATCAACTCTATGTTATACACCTCCAACCTTGCAACCAGAGAGCCTTTAGGCTTTATGACGTGAAATTTCAATCCTGCCAAGGACATACATAACTGCATAACAGCCTTGACATGGGTAATATTTGGCACCTGTATGCGATTACCTGCTTGACATCCATCATTTCCTTGGCACCCTCTGCAAGACTTGTAACAATGGTAGCCCAATATAACAATACAATTGGCACCAATGGGAACCCTTCACTGCATTTAGCAATTAAAACCCATGACATCTTTCAAGAATTCTTGACCATGAGACCCTTCTCCAAGAGTATTACCTTGGCACATATCAGTCCTTATCTGCTGTGATGACCTGGTTATTAACTCAAGTCCTATTTGGCACTAATTGTCCAGCATCATCCAGAGTATATAACTTGGCATTAAAGGCATCATCGGGCCGTTCATCTGAAGATAATGTATCTGGAAGAACTGCCAGGCTTTCCATCTTTCTTGAATCCTGCACATCAGATTCCATGCCAGTTTTCTGACCTTGCCCACAATGTCACATAACAAATTACAACACATATCTGCTGTACAGCGTACAACGCCAGCTAGTGCTGATAAATACATTTTTGTCTGGTAAAATCCCTAGTGTGCCCACTATATCCAACACAGAGTATTGTTCGTTCTAACCTCATCTAGAATCCACAGCAACATATTAGTGAAGCCTACAGCTCTACAGCGAGGGTGAGGGTAGTAGGCTATTGCAGAACTGTGTGGGGTGCCAATGTGTGGAAGAATTGAAACGAGAAGATGCAGTCCTCACACAGTCATCGAAACCCTGGACTGGGTTCCTCATACATAAACCACCAAGTCAAAAGAATCACATCGATCAAGCTCTACACCAGGTGAACATCACAGTCTCTCTGTATCATGTATCTATCTCAATTGCAATCTACATCAACTCATCTGCAGCTGTCAACACGGACGTTCTGTCACTAGTCATCACCGAGGTATTGCCTTCCATCAGATATTGTAAACAATTACAATATATAGATTAATAAACAGGATCAATGTTTCATTTTATCAGAGCATGTCGATGGCTTTGAACAAAGAATTCACAGGAACTAACATTTCTACCCCAAATAAGCAAATAACACCTCATTACTTCATAATTATCATACATGTACTGTATATACCATTTATATCATAAAACAATAACAAGCACAGGCCCTGCTGAAAATGAAATTATCACCCAAAATGACATTATGAACACTGATCCATTCAAACTACAGAAAGCTGAAACTATGAGGCACGAGATCCTTCTTCAGCTGCATGAGGAGGACCATCTCCACATCCAAACATCCCGATCCTCATCTAGGATCTTCTCTCTCCCTAGAGTCACACAGTTGATACACTCCAACCAAGCACAGTATCACATTCTTGATCCTTCCACACTATATCCTGAGTCCCCGATGCAAATGCACGACCATTAAACATCCTGTTGATATGAAAGACAAAGGTTTGGAATCCACTATGTTTGCAGCAGCTGTTTCTCTGGCTGTGGGGGACTAGTGTCTTCCGGTGTTTCCTCACTATCTTCATTAGCTGCATTATCCTGTATACTCTGGTTATAGTCTTCTAGACATTTGAGGAGGGCCTCCACAAGGTCGTGGAGAACCTCAGTGTCCTTGTCCTCCAGTAAGTTAAACTCCAAATTGAAGACCATGAAGTGAGTGAACAGACTGTTTAAGTGGCCATGCAGACCTAGTGTCAGAAGTTCCCTATAATGTGCGTGGTATATGTGTGCTAATACTTGGAGGAGATACCGGTGCACCTTCTTCACAACTGTTTCGAATGAGTTTGGGAAGACATGACCTGAAAGACAACATCAAATGTTAGAGTGAGTACAAATGAGTAAATATTTAACATCAATTCAGCAATATTCCAGCCATATCATGACGAGACGTTATACATTAATGATACATATATTTAGACTAAATAAAAACCTGTCATCGATGGCAAATGTTAGAAAATCACTTCTGAGGAAACGTACTGAAGAATAAACCACAAATAGCAGTTCAATTGCAGATGCAGTGGAAAGCAATCTTGCCTCACTTATGCACATTCAAGCACAAGTTACAAGACTTTCATTCATTTCATGCCCCTTAAACATCATACTTCTGTGAGTCACTGTTGGTTTAGGTCTAGGTCAGCAATATTCCAGCTATATCATGGTGCCCTGTAAATGATGCACCAGGCAAACCAGTTGTTTATAGCATGACCAATGATCCATGTAGCCAGGGCACACTGACATACAATTGGCCAGTTCACACAATGTACCAACCCAATCTTCATTGGTTTCTTCTTATGATGGTGATGGTGAGTATGGTTTTACGCCGCTTTTAGCAATATTACAGCAATATCACGGCAGGGGACACCAGAAATTGGCTTCACACATTGTACCCATGTCGGGAATCGAACCCGGGTCTTCGGCGTGACGAGCGAACGCTTTAACCACTAGGCTACCCGACCGCCCCTTCTTCTTATGACAAGCATGAGACCTATATGACCTAGAATTGCAACAATAAGCATACTTCAACTTCCAAGGTACTGCATGATCTGAGACAGTTTCCAAATTCTGATATTGTCATATTCACCGTATTTGACATAATAAGCGCCCAGGGTGCTCTCAAAATTAGAAATAGGGAGCTCTTATTAGAATATTATTTTGGTGAAAAAAAAGCAGAGTTGAAAGATAAATTTCGTGGTTTATGCTGACAGCCTGAAATGTTTACGTATGACAGATATATTTTTCCAGAATTTAATGGCCCATAATTAAGGGTGCATATAACACACGAGTGTGTATTATACATGAATGAATAAGTCTTGTGTACATTGATCAATCGGAAGGGTTGCTTATTGGGATTGTTCACTAGCCAATATATTAGCAAATATTGCCGTGGAGTGGGGCGCTTATTACATTGAATACGGTATGCCCCAAACATTGCCCATTATCTGTACTCACCAAACTTTGTTGGGAAGACAGATTCGTCAGTGATGGACGTCTGTATATATGTCATGACATAGTCAATGTACTGAGGAGCTGAATATTTAAACTTCTTCCCCTTGTCATCATACCAGTAATATTGCCTGAAAAATAGATGTTGTAAAGACTACTACAAACATTCAACACTTTATGATTGTTCTTACAAAATAATATGAAAGTGAGGGAATGAACACTGAAAATTACTAAAAGCTATATATGAATGACAACTTCTGTGTTGTCAAGCTAAATCATTCTTGTATGTTTCTATGTTTTGTTTGTTGTTTAATGCCACTCAGAAACATTCCACCTATATGACTGTGGCCTGTAAATAATCAAGTCTAGACCAGATAAACCAGTGACTGATATGAGCAACGTCCTACGCCTGGGTACAATGACACGTGATAAGTTGCCAAGACTATTCAGTACAACACACATAAGTTTCTGAGGGCCTATTCTAACAAGGAATCTCATCAGGGAGCGAATCATGTTGTGTTTTCATCAGAAAACAGCTTTTTAAGATAAACAGTGATTAACTGTTAGAACAATAATTTTCCATGACATTTCTACAGAAAATATGCCAAACATTTATGAATATAAAACTTTACTTAAACTATGGTAAACAATTAGCAGCAAAGGAGTTGATTGGAACCACATGGCTTTAACATCAAATTTACTCGTTAGTATTACTTTTCATGGCACAAAAGAAAATCCCATTTTCAGATATGCAGATCACTATATTACGTCTACAACAAGAAATCTGTGATTTCTAATGTTACGATACTGTATATAGATTTCATCAAATGATGCATCAATAGAGTCCTCAAACATAGTTGCTACTCCTTAACCAGTATGACCCAACTGTAATGTATACATTACAAACAGGCCGATCTATCTCACCAATATGGTGGGTAGGACCTTAAAAAATAACCAACCTTCAACAGATAACCAGCTCGACACAAGTATGCATCATCAGATTGCAGATGATTTCATACAGCCCTTTGGGCAAGGCTAATATTAGTTAATATTAATAAAAATTCATTTGTAATATTAGCTAACACATTTGAGGCATATTCATCTTGCACAACTACAGTCAAAAACTAATTGTAGACTTACACACTGCCCGGGGCTGCCATCGAGGAGCATGCTTGTCCCTCGGAGGTACAGTACTCAGAGATCACCCCATACATTAAGTTCACATGGTTGAAGAAAGCTATGGCTGAAAGGTAAATAAACATAGGTTAGAATCTTATAATCATGTAGTATGTCAAAACCAATGGAAAAAGCTCAAAGATAGCTACATTCATGAGATATGAATAGCAAGATGTGACATAGAAAATAATGTAGTCCTAGTCAGTATATCAAGGTCACTCAGGTCAATATGTGTCATGTGAGGCATACTGGTCTCAGTGTGTTAGTGAGTTGGGCTTTTGCGAGTTTGAAGAGTATTTTGGTTATATCACTGCATGTCTTAGTGAAAACTCACAAGCATTGGTATGAGTGAGTGAGTGAGTTTGGTTTTACGCCACTTTTAGCAATATTCCAGCAGTATCACAGCAGGGGACACCAGAAATGGGCTTCACACATTGTATCCATGTCGGAGCACTGGTATGGGGCTGACAAATCAAGAATCACATTTGAACCCTCACAGGATTCAGACACACCTAAGGGAAGCAACTTTGCCCCACAAATAGCAACACCAACATCTGAGCCCCTTGTTAGTTACAAAGTGACCAACGAGGGCGAGAACGAAAGTCAACCATCATGAACACCTGGCATAATCCAAGGCAGATTTGTCCTTGTTAGTAACACAAGGATCATGATGCAAAACTGATTCTTCTAAAAGTTCAGGACGTTTTAACTTTCCTGGTCATCATCTCATTTTTGACAACTTCAAAACTACCCGTGCGATTGATTTATCTCCTTTTTCTCTCATTATTGAAACAATATTTCTAATAACAATTCAGTAGAGACAAACATGTGACAACTCTACTTAACATTTGTTTGTTTGCCTGTGTTTAACATCAAAGTTGTGTTTGAAGTTTGTTGTTTCATGCCATGCTAAGCAATATTCCAGCCACATGACGGCAGCCTGTAAGACAATCCCTATCTTCTTTACAAACTGTCAACTACCACAAACAGTCGTAGCTTCAAACACTGATATGGAAACTTGATTGAGGAAATTCAATTCTCATGTTGCAACCAATGTGAATAGAATGCTTTCAACTAATACTCTGCACACTCTTTTGAAATCTATTCAGGTTCTGGTCCCCTTCATATCAGGTATCGGACACGTACAGGATCAGTACTACAAATCACGAAATCCAGTTCTCCTTGGTCAATTCTTTTGATAGAGACCAGAGACTAATTAACCATGATTTTGTTGCTATGGTGAAGTACTGTATTATTTTAAGTACCTTATTATCTCAATTATTGGTCTATCATCAGTCTGTACAGCTCTACTACTTGCCTGAAGACAGATTCTATCACAGCAACTAGTTGGTGTTAGTTCAGGAATGCAATGCAGGCTAATGGTTCCAGGTAGACACGGGCTCATTATAGATCTTATAATGTGTGAGTCTAAAGGCTTTTCTTCTTCATTAAGATAAAATGACAAGTATTTCTTCAAACATTTTTCAATTTTAATTATTTATTTCTTTAATTTTAAATTGTGTTGACACGACCATGTTAGTCACTATTACCGGTATGTGGTCTCTGCCAGTATTTAGGGAAACCTTCAGAGTTTGGTTAATTTCTACTAGTACTAGTCATACATTAACCAAGGAGAATATTGGTGTGGCCTATGGACTAGTGCAAGTTAATTACTGCCATAAAATAACTTCAAGTGATAGTAAAGGGGTGCTACAATCCTTAAAGTTTGCTGCTGTAGTTCTTGAATCTTTGGACCCTCTAAATCATTAACTTTTAACACTGGGTCAATGTCTGTTGTTTAACGCCACACTCACACAAATATTCCAGCTGTATGACACCATTCTGGAAACAATTAAGTATGGGCAAGACAATCCTGTGACATCTTGATTGGTTGGTTGGTTTGTTGTTTTACACCGCACTCAGCAATATTCCAGCTATATGACGGCGGTCTGTAAATAATTGAGTCTGTACCAGACAATCCAGTGATTGATATCATGAGCATCGATCCACGTAATTGGTGACATCTTGAGCAAGATGTACGCAATACGATGACATTCCTCAACATGAAGTCAATGAACACAACCCCCCGATGACATTAGTCGCCTCTTACGTCAAGCATGGTTTGCTCAAGACCATTTCCCACTCGAATCTTCACAGCACATTCGGGAAATGACAATGACGCCCTGACTTTCATGCTTAATTGTGAGAACTGAAGAAGTCATAATATCGCCTTCACAAAAGGCAGAAAACATATTGATTACAGCAGTCAAAAGATGGAGAACTCCCCTGCAAAAACCCAGCTTATAATACCAGAAATGTTGAATGACAACACCTAATCTTGGTGATATGACATTAAATGCTATCAGCAACTTGATAGTTGTCAATAACCAGAGACAGGCTGCCTGTCAATTTGACATTATTATCCCCAACATCAAAAGATAACATGGACATCATAAAAATCAAGCCATTGTTATTCAGTCGACTGACGGTCTAGCTCAATTCATGGTGACTAGCTGATTTAATTTCCCATGACACCCAGTTCACCCGCTTACAAGTTTAGTCACTGTAGCATATGCTATGTAATGTGCCATGAAAATTGAAACAACATCAACACTAAATCAAATCAATCTGAGTGAGTGAGTGAGTGAGTGAGTGAGTGAGTGAGTAAGTGCCACTGTAGGCAATATTTCAGCTATTCCTAAGTTTATCTGTAGGGGGATTACAGCATGAGCTGCACAAATTGTACTTGAGTTTATTTTGAAGTTTCACATGATCCCATGATAAAAGTAACAACCGTAATGGCAGATACATTTAAAAAAGAGTGCAAATAATAAATAAATACACAAACAATAAATACTATATTTCATGTAGGACTTATTTGCTGAGGTAAGCAATTTCTGAAGGTGAGCTTCTCTCCCTGTCCTCTTTAAAAATCCATCAACTAATTGGCTTCCATGTGTTGGAGAGATCGGATAACCCCAAGGATGAGCCCAACAGCAGACAAACTGGATGATATATTCATTGAGTGGAAAGGCATCAAGCTAACCTGAGCTCACATCTATTCAGCCCAGACCCTTCAGTGTATTGTTGAGATGGAGGTGTCAGTCTTTGTATTATGCATCAAACTCCCTGCAGAGCGCTGTCTAGCTCCAATTGAGCTGCTCAAGCAAATCAATAAGTGATGGCTTCTAACATCCACCAATCTGGAGGCTCATAGGTGGGCAAACCGTTAACATCTTGGTGGGTTACTGTACCAACATGCCATCAATCTAAAGTCAATGTCAAGTCCTTGTGAAATCATTTGTGTGACAGAAGATGCAGCCTCAGAAATTCAATTTTCTTTCAGAACAGGTGTAAACCTATTACCGTATATCGCTGTGTATAAGGCGACCCCACATATAAGACGACCCTCCTGTACACGCCTTCAAAATCAACCCGTGTATAAGGCGACCTGGAATGAAGCACATCACAAGTGCGCACACAAACCTTATATATGCAATAAAAATATGTTTATCTTGCATTGTTTTTTCTACGTTGATTGGTCGCGTGTGTAACTCCAGCACATGTTGCCATTTTGTGGTACACGGTACGACACCAAATTGGTGCCCGTAAAATAAAATTCATTTATGAAGTAATAACATATAAGAGACAATGGTGAGTAATTTAATCACCAATTAACTATGTTGTAACTAACTAGGCTTATATTTGCTTCACATTCAGCGTGTTTATTCCACAATCACTTATTCACACTGTCTCCAACAGTTGTTAATACAACTGTAAAAACAGCGGGAATTGATTTCAGCTTCACCGGTTATCACATGTTAGGTCACATGTGCAATATGCAAATGCTTACCAGTACTTCTGGCTCTCTACTCACGGATGTTGATTGTTTTACCGTGTCAGCTGGTTTGACAATCTGCATAGAGGCGAGGTTCATTTCAACTTTATTTGCAGATATTATTAAACTTTATTCAAGGAAAAGAGATACAAATCATGTTTATGTATGGAAATAGGTTTTGGAACAGTTATTTAGGACGAAATGCGAAGTTTTATTGTCAAATGCTGGGCTGGCTATCGGACGCTGGTTGACATCGCCAGTGGAAAAAAATGTGAGATCTTCGACTCCGTGTATAAGACGACCCCCCTTCATAATCCCCTCATTTTAGGTACGAAAAACTCGCCTTATACACAGCGATATACGGTACACAAGTCCTCAGAGTTTGTAGCTGGTCCTGCTTGAACAAGACAAAAATGTTTACTGGGTTGAAAACATTTTCTGTTAGTTTTATTCAGTTCCAGTTTGTAGAAGAAATGAAGAATTTGGAACTGATTCAGTGTTTTAGCCCTCAAATGCCACATGTCAATGAAGACTACCATCACTGGATGTTTACTTGTCCTCAGCACAATTTAGTAGTCACGTGCTAGTTGACTAGTGGCGAGGGCCATGTGACACAGTTGAACCAATCAACTCAACTCGAAAGGGTGCACGGGAATCACGCACGTTGAGACGCCCAACGCTAACACCGTATTTGTGCGTGCGTGATTCCCGTGCAACCTTTCCAGTTGAGTTGATTGGTTCAACTGTGTCATATGGCCCTATGATGCAGGGGTAGCATTATGCAGATGGCTGTTACAATGAATGCTCGTTCCACCGTGATGAACAGGTCTGGTTGTTGATGAAATATAGTGATAGCTAAATAGACCGATTTTTTATTCATGCACCGATTGTCTTTAAATGTAATATCCAGTTATGTATGACTGTTTAATAATCTCATACCAACTTTGACTGGAGTGGGTCCAATAGTTTTTCAGATATTGTAGTAAACGTCGGTACCTTAAATTACCTTCCAGACTATAACTTGATAGAGAAAATAACTTGCACAGCACCAATATAAACTATGGCTGTGTGCTTAGCTATAGTAAACGTGGCATACAATTCTCTTCTCCAGCCTATCAACCTTCCATCCTGTTAATTCACAAACCAATTTCTATTTCAGGAGAGTCATGGCTCAAGAAATGACATGTTTTCAACACCAATCAATTTCATCTATGCCATATCAAAAGATGCCTGTCTCAGCTAATAATAACTTGTATGGTAACTAAGAAACTTCATATGAAAGCCCACAAAAGCATAAGAGTTTCCTAATCTGGGAGAATAAAGCCAGCTTCTAGACCAGCAGTAACAGCCATGCTGAGCGGGCAGTGCTCAGTGCCCCAACTGCCCCGAACCCCTATTGATCAGCACTTTGATGGCCCCTTGTCAATAGCAATATGAATCTAAGTTGTCTGTCACTTCTTTCCAAGAAAGAGTTAATCAAGGGGAGAAACTGTGTGGTCAATAACTGCCAAAATGTCAGTGTGGATGCTGAAAATGCAACAAAGGAAGTGAACTTGTCCGCACTATCTGGCACGTCATTTTTGTCTGGATGACTGGTGTGGGGTTTTCCGCTAGTGAAACAGTGTTTGAAACTAAGCATAAAAGTCAAGCCGAAGGGGTCCTTGTTATTGACCCACTGTGATAAGTAAAAGATTGAGGGGGTCCCCAGATTCAGAAGTGCGAACACGGGTAAACTTCAAAGAAACTTGGTTCACTTCACTTAACAGACTTCTATGTTCATACAACATTGAGGCAAAATTATAATGTATCTTTTGTCATTCATTTCAATCTGCTCTTCAGATTGATGTCTTGTGCTTTTGGGTTTCACCAAAGAGGTAAATTCTAAACCCTGCATTATTTCCCTCATCCTCCCTCATTAAACAGACACACCGTCATATAACTAGAATACTGTTCAAAGAGGTGTTAAACCCAACTCACTCACTCACAGCATGTGAATTATGACAACAGCAGCATCTCCGAATGTACCACAGACCAAGCCTCGTCATGGTCAATGTGATTGTACTGCAAGGTGTTGCCACATGCCTCCACAGCAATAAAGGTGAATCATGACAACAGCAGCATCTCCAAATGTACCACAGGCCCAGCCTCGTCATGGTCAATGTGTCCTGCAATGAAGGTGTTGCCACATGCCTCCACAGCATGTGTATCATGACAACAGCAGCATCTCCAAATATACCACAGACCAAGCCTTGTCATGGTCAATGTGTCCTGTACTGCAAGGTGTTGCCACATGTTTCCACAGCATGTGAATCATGACAACAGCAGCATTTCCAAATGTACCACAGACCAAGCCTCGTCATGGTCAATGTGTCCTGTGCTGCAAGGTGTTGCCACATGTTTCCACAGCATGTGAATCATGACAACAGCAGCATCTCCAAATGTACCACAGGCCCAGCCTCGTCATGGTCAATGTGTCCTGTGCTGCAAGGTGTTGCCACATGCCTCCACAGCAATAAAGGTGAATCATGACAACAGCAGCATCTCCAAATGTACCACAGACCAAGCCTCATCATGGTCAATTAGTCCTGCAATGAAGGTGTTGCCACATGCCTCCACAGCATGTGAATCATGACAACAGCAGCATCTCCGAATGTACCACAGACCAAGCCTCGTCATGGTCAATGTGTCCTGCAATGAAGGTGTTGCCACATGCCTCCACAGCACGTGAATCGTGACAACAGCAGCATCTCCAAATGTACCACAGACCAAGCCTCGTCATGGTCAATGTGTCCTGCAATGAAGGTGTTGCTACATGCCTCCACAGCATGTGAATCATGACAACAGCAGCATCTCCGAATGTACCACAGACCAAGCCTCATCATGGTCAATGTGTCCTGTACTGCAAGGTGTTGCCACATGCCTCCACAGCATGTGAATCATGACAACAGCAGTATTTCCAAATGTACCACAGACCAAGCCTCGTCATGGTCAATGTGTCCTGCAATGAAGGTGTTGCCACATGCCTCCACAGCATGTGAATCATGACAACAGCAGCATCTCCAAATGTACCACAGACCCAGCCTCGTCATGGTCAAAGTGTCCTGTACTGCAAGGTGTTGCCACATGCCTCCACAGCAATCACAACCTCGATGGAATGACAGCTTGCTCTATTATTGTCAGGATTGATTTTCCACATAAATTGAGTGATGATAAAGTAAGGTTTTGCAACACATTTTATTGACAATGAGTGGGAAAAATATTTCTGATTTCTGTTTTGGATTTCTACTTTTCTTTCCCACACAATTATCTTCACACCTTTATTAATTTGGTCAGAACGTTTTGAAATATATGCCTTTTGAAAATGCATTTTACTTATTTAATCATTTCATAATATAATGTTTAACTGAATCATTAATGGTAAACTACCAAAACCCAAAATGTTTTTGGACTATTTTGTATTTAGGAAAAATATCAATACAAAATATCTATTATCTATTGTTTCAAATCAATGATAAAGTGTCATATCAAAACCAACTACTCAATCATTCCGAATTTGCAAATAAAATTATCTGTTATGACCACCATACATCAAACGTAACTGTTTATCACTTCACCCTGACATATTCTTCCTATTAAAAACCTTAGTGACAGGTTATGAAGACACACCCAAATTGTAATCCAAATATAATCCAAGTTGTCATTCATTTCTCAAATTTGGCGTCACTGTTATCAGTTATTTCCTGAAGCATGACCAAGTAAACATCCGTAAGGTGTGGCACATGTGCATCATCATGACTTAACATTCTCTAGGGGACTTTTCTCTTGTTCTTTAAAAATTGTGTGCAATACACATACACCTAGTTTGTAGGTGGAAGCTCTAGCTCATGTTTCATAACAAGTTTCACATTACTGTTTGTTTGTTTGTTGTTTAACGCAGCACTCAGCAATATTCCAGCTATATGACGGCAGTCTGTAAATAATCGAGTCTGGACCAGACAATCCAGTGATTGACATCATGGGAATCGATCCACGCAAATGGGACTAATCACATGCCTGACCACCTAATCCTGTTAGTCGCCTTTTACGACAAGCATAGTTGCCTTTTACGGCAAGCATGGGTTGCTGAAGACCTTTTCTACCCCGGTCTTCACGGGTCTTACATTACTATCTCAGTCATATCATGGCATGTGAACTAAATGTGGGAGGAAAGCACCAAGCGACACATGTCATTTTTAGGGTGAAGCTGGAATTTTAACCTAAGATGGGCAGGTCCTGGCATGGCTCAAACACCTAACTCTGCAAAGGGATGAGAAGTTTATTTCACCACAAGACCACCAGTACCCTCAATTATAAGTGATGGATATTGACCCGACGTTCGCATTGCAGTTAATTGAAATAATGATTCATGTATTGGGCTACGTACCACTATATAATGCATGTGTTCTTTTATCTGTAATTTGTTGTGAACCTGAACTAAAAGAACTTTCTCCGGAAATCTTTTACAACTTTGTAATCGTCCGTCATTTTGTTAGATGTTGCTTTGGTCACAAAGCATGTGTAATAGACACATTATATACAGGAAACTGATCACGGATAGTTTTGCTTTCCCAGATCACAGGAAACAGTAAAGTTGTTAATTTCTGAATATCATAATTTCACTTTGACTTGTCACTCATATAAACTCTGCCAACAAGATGAAAATATGCATGATTTTGAAAAACCCCGCAGTATACCAGTATTTTCCAAATGAATTGTGATATGTATTCATAAGTAATTCACATCGTGGTATACTGGTATTGGTAATACCACCCACCTCTTCAATATAAACTCCAATTAATACACAGACACTTGCAGTGCATTCTGCCATTGGACCCCAGTGCATTGAACTCAAAATTGCATATAACTTGATCGTCCGTTCTTCATCTGTATAACTATGCAAGATTTGTTGTGTGATTACCGGTAGCTAAAACACATATCAACAGTCTGCATTTTTAGCCACTAGTACATAACCTCTGTGTGTGTGTGTGTGTGTGTGTGTGTGTGTGTGTGTGTGTGTGTGTGTGTGTGTGTGTGTGTGTGTGTGTGTGTGTGTGTGAGTCTTAGTGTGTTTGTGTGTGTGTATGTGTGTGCTAGCTCACTGAGATACCATGCCGCAGTTTAACATGAATACCCCACTCCGAGCCGACCAGTCCTAGTTATAGTTCCTTGTGCCGAACACCAGACCAGGGAACAACAAGTACCATCTTTTAACATCTTTGATATGACACGACCGGTGATTGAACCCCGGACCTTCCGCTCTCCGGGCGGACGCTCAAGCACTAGACCACTGGGGCGGTCTTCGTCAGTCGTAAAGTACATTTTGATTGCAGGTAATTCTTCTCAGCAATTGATAAATTCCAAATTTGGAAGCACAAGAAAGTGTTTAAACTTACTGTGAGTAGCCAACCACTCATTATAGTCTAGGTGTGGAGGTAGTGAGACTAGCTTGAAGAAATCCGCTTCTGTAACACGTTCCTTGATAAACGTTTCCCCCAGGTACTGACGCTGTTCCTCGCTGGCAGGTGGGGTAGGGGAGTCCTTATCTTTCCGTCTCCCCTTCCTGAAACACAGAGAACATTCGATTACTCTCATAAGTAATGTACAGGTTTCATATATATCCACTACGTTGCCAATAAGGGAAAGAAAGAAATCAATATGCCTATTCTATACAGGGTTGAGAATGGATATTCGCGGATCCGCTGAAGATTCTCACCTGTCTACAGTACATGACATGATAAAACATTGCCAGGCTGCCATCAGTACCCACAGACTTAAGAATCGGCATGTCCTTAAAAACTCTTGAAACTTCCTTTTTGTGACAAATAAATCGACACATCTACTGCAGGCCATAAGGACCCATACAGATTTGAAACTAGGGGCCCAAAATGACATGTTCCTGCCACGGGCCTACAGGCAGGCGCTTATTTTGAACACTGCTGTATTTGTGGTTGAGGTCTGATTTTGTTCTATGTGAGTGGGTGAGTCTGGTTTAACACCACTTTGAACAGTATTTCATTTAAATCATGTCAGGCCTACAGGCAGGCGCTTACTTCGAACAATGCTGTATTTGTGGTTGAGGTCTGATTTTCTTCTATGTGAGTGGGTGAGTTTGGTTTAACACCACGTTGAACAGTATTTCATTTAAATCATGTCAGGCCTACAGGCAGGCGCTTACTTCGAACAATGCTGTATTTGTGGTTGAGGTCTGATTTTCTTCTATGTGAGTGGTGAGTCCGGTTTAACACCACTTTGAACAGTATTTCATTTAAATCATGTCAGGCCTACAGGCAGGCACTTACTTCATGCACTGCTGCTGCATGTATTTGTGGTCTGTTAACATGGTTAAGATCTGATTTTGTTCTATGTGATTATTTCAGTTAAATCAGTGTCGAGTAAGCTTAATGTTGGTAGAAAGCCCATAATTAATGCATAGACGTTTACCACTTTGGTGAACTGATGAGAATGGCAATAGTGCTGAAAACCAAGAGAAATAATTGGGGCGAACCGGGATTCGAACCTACAATCCTAGGTTTCTGGCATGCCTAAGAAACGTAACTCTGCGACACCTTTGTCAACTGGGCTTGTGCTCCCTAGTTAATGTATTTGACAAAACAAGTACAGCATGGTCACAAACAATCAAACTTCAAGCAAATGCACAAAACATTCAAATGACAACTCTTCTGTCTCAAACCTTGCTGAAGAAATAACATTCTTGGGCAATTTATGCTATGGTTATGAGATAGATGGCTTCAGACTCAATAGCAACAATTTTCAAGGACATAACTTAAAAGTCATGGCCTTTGGGGTAGAATATCAGAGAATCTCACATTCACTTACATTCTACTTGACAGGGGCATTGGTTGGTTGTTGGTTGGTTTGTTGTTTAATGCCGCACTAAGCAATATTCCAGCTATATGACGGCGGTCTGTAAATAATCGTGTCTGGACCAGACAATCCAGTGATTAATATCATGAGCATCGATCCACGCAATTGGCATCAACCACATCAGCGAGTCTGACCACCCGATGACGTTAGTCTTTTAATGTCGGTATAGGAATATCTTGCTTCATCTTACAATTCTAAAACAACAACCGTATGATTCAGAGTAATATAAGATATAAAGGTCAAGGACAGGATGATGGAACTATGCAGAATGCACCAGACAGTTTAACAATTGAGTATTTTTTCAACAAAAGACTACAAAAGACTGCAAAAGACATGCATTTGTGACTTATTCATGGTCGGCGCACCCTCACAAAAACACATTCAAAAGAGGTTTGTTGACATATTTAACAATGAGGACAACCTTACCTCAATGTCTGCCAGAGGTACCTCTTAGATGCTTCCTTCATTGCAAACATCTTACAAAATACAAAATGGTAAGATCCCTTTTCTGTTGTAAATACAACCTTCCTACCAGTAAGTGGTACGTTGTTGTGACAGTGTTGTACACAGCAGGATCTGGTCTTGCAAGATATAAACACCCAGGGTTCAATCTACCGTATTTTACTCAAGAAAGTCATCCCTAGGCAAAACTTTCAAAAAAGTGGTTTACAGATTCCATAATGCTAAACATATGAAAAGTGGAAAATAGATAAATATGGAACGGAATAATTTTGTATTTTGTGTCATGTGATATAAATCTGGCTCAAAACGAAACTATGGTAGTAAACGTGTCCGGGGTATATATCAGTTTAGAAGGGAAGCATAATACACTGGATAATCGAGGATGGAAACAGTCCTTCCACCACAGAAATTCTTAGATTTCTCCTCATCATAATCAAATTCACTCAAATGCACATCTAAGTGTGAGGATGTTTACTGAATCATTTAAGGTACTTGAATACTTTTCTATCTGTAGAACATGACACAAACAACTTCGTGAACCCTGTTAAGGTGAATCTTGCTTGAATGAGCACTGCTTTGTTGGCGAGACATTACTACAGGTCGTCACTTTAGGAAGAGGGATCTGTACTACATTCCATACAAATCCCATGGTGTTCTGGAACAGGTTTGACTGTATGTAAATAAAAAGGTCCAGATAAATGTCCTATTGAGCTACATATATGGCAGTTAGATGATCCAGGCTAATTACAGGTCGTTCAGGTCTAATTACTACTTTGAAAGATGGAGCAGCTTCAATAACATCCCTAGATGGTGAGCTTTGAAGGCAGAATGTTTGTAAGAAGGATGGAGGACTAGTTGTATTAAGCCATATCTCTTGGGGAGTCCTGCGCAGCAGGCTAACACTATTACAGAAAACATATCATCAATTTATTTTGATTAAAACCATGAGCAAACAGTAGGAACAAGCAATAGGCAAGAGTCTAGTACAGGCTGAGTAATGCCATAAATAGCTTTTTCAATATGGCTGCCCATGTCGGCCATCTTGAAAATCAGATTTGAATCTCCTGAACAAATGTGATGATTGGTGGGAACAAGAATGTGAAGCTTCAGAATCATCAGTACAGTGGTGAGGTGAAATTAGGTTTAACGTCGCGTCCAAGATTATTGCACTTATATAGCGACGTGCATGCACGTGTATGTGTGTGTGTGGCTGCTTGTACTAGTCCGAACTGATGCCGATTTATAGTGCTAGCTCACTGAGATACCATGCCGCAGTTTAACATGAATACCCCACTCAGACACAGTATACTGACTCCGAGCCGACCAGTCCTTGTTTTAGCCCCTTAATGCTGAGCGCCAGACAGGGTAACAACAAGTACAATCTTTTAACGTCTTTTTGTATGACGCGGCCCGGGATGGAACCCTGGACCTTCCGCTCTCCGGGCGGACGCTCTACCACAAGACTACGGAGGCGGTCCATCAGTACAGTGATTTCATCAAAGATTTTTACATCAGATGCTGGACAAACAGGCCATGATTTAAACTCACTTGACTTTCAGGTGAGCTAATTAAAGTCAGGCCTCAACTTTTCTGCACATATATCTATATACCAATATTAATACAAATAAATTTGCTCAACAATTTTTTCGGCACCAATTTTACGACAACATAGATAGATGTTGATTGACGAGTAAACATTGCTGTTCAGGAATTTATGCCTGAGTTATGTGTGATGTGACTGAATTCCACAATGCATCAGTTTTCCTGACTTTCATATCAGATCAACATGATCAATGGAAAATGAACAATACATTTTTTTAAATTACAGTATTGGCATGAAAATACCACCCAATCACTAATAAGAGCCCTTTCAAAAAGTTCATCAAGACAAAATGAATGTTGTATAGTCATTGTTATGTCAAGTGAAATAACAATCCTCATAGGTGTTTCACAGTAAATTGTTTTACTTTTTAAAACCCAAAACAGTAATTTGAGAGTCTAAATATTAATAACATGATTTTAAATATTAAGCATGTAAAGGTCACTGTAACAGTAGCATATCAATTTCAAAATGCAAGGACCAGCTGTCTGCTCAATTACAAAATAGCAACAGTTAATTATCGTATCTCATCAATAATTCATAGTTTGATGCAACCTTTGGCAAAGATCGGCAACTCAGTTCAAAATGACTCTCACTTGAAGTAATAATAAGCGAATTAAACTCAGACTGAAAACTGACACCTATCTCAATCTACACCAAATGCTTTTGAGTCTACTGTCCCCAAAATTGTATTTTGGGACTATTTTCAGTATATATTTGTCTTAGTATATGGACTTATATTGTGTGAAGTTACTGGAACAGGAGAAATTTTATTAGACTTGGGCACTGGACTAGTGACTAAAGACACATATAGCTATTTTCCAACTTTTACAATTCAAGGGCTTGATAGGGATTGAACATTTGATATACTTGGGGCCCTGGGATAAATGCGAAAAAAATCATTTTCCAGAACTTGTTCGCTAGACATTGTTATGAGGCAGGACATGTTGTAAGTTTACTAAGCGGTGGAAACTAACATTTTTGGTCCACTAATCCTTATAACGATAATAATCAGCAAACCCCTTAAAAATGGCAAATTTCCTACTAGTCCTTAAGATACCTTAACCATTGGGCAGTTTGGCAAGGACTACATGACTAGTGCCATTTTCTAACCCTGTTTACTTCTGATGAATGTTTGTTGCAGCTGATAGAAGAGCTTATGGAATAGAGTGACCTCCCTTAGTTGTTTATAGTAACCCTTTATCGAAACATTTAAGAAACATTGAAAGTTTTTTTCCCACTTGCTCCAGCAAAGGCTGACTCCCTCAAGCAAGTTTGACAAAAGTTGTTTTCCTTTAGTCTCCTAAACAAAATCATGCACAAAACAAATCAAGCACTGACCATGTTTCTGGGTCAATAGCTGGATATAGTGATTGTCAACCATATCGACGTCAATGAAATGACATGGCCAGCCCTCGACGTGGACAAAGTTGTTATTAGTCAGCTGTATCAATGGCTCTATTGAAACAGCTTGCTGGACCTGCTTTTTGCCTATATACATGCCGAGCACCTGGACCTACACACTGAGTGATAGGAGCACTTAATACAGCTCAACAGCTGATAATAAAGCCACGACAATGCCTATCTGGAGTGACTGCAACAGTCGAGGTTTT